TGTGTTGCTTCCACATGGCATCCAGAAAGACGGGAGCCAACACGATGGTGTCATGAATGTCTCGTGTCGCCACCTTGAGGGCCAAGAACCGTTGGTACTCGCGCAATATCCGATCGACGTGTCGAGAACTCCACGTGGGATAGACTCGTAGACACCGCTCTTTCAAGGGCTTCCAGTCCATCTCATGCTGCATCTTCGACAAGGCTCGTTCGCCCAGCTCCGTGTTAATGGAGGGCATTCTCGTGGCTCACTGGTCGAGTCGCGTCGAGTCCAGTAATATACCCAAACCAATAGCAATGGGTATATACCCGCACACCTCCTATCTATTATCTACAGCTCTCAGTATCACTACTATCAGTGGCCCAGATCTCACTAGTATTCCCCCAGTGTTTAGTATCGGCCGCTCGTAGGTGTTCTCCTGGTTCATTGCCGGTGGGGGTCGATCGGAAAGCCTACGGTACGGTGCCAAAACCTTGCAAGGGCTGATCAGAGGAGCGCTGTGTTCCTCCATCCGGTCCAGTTGGCGAAACAAAAATGTGAGAATGCGATAGATGACTTTAGTCACGAGGCTAACTATATAGCATGATTAATTTTCTACTCCTAAGTAACCTTATCGTCGGCGATGCAAGTGTGGGGATGTACTTGCAAAATAGAGTGTTCTTCACATCTTTGCGAGGCTTTCATCGGCTCTTTTTCTGTGCCCGTCAAAGGATGCTGCATGGCTAGTTTAGAAAGCCATAGACGACGGTGGTTATTCCTTCTCATCTGCTACCGTATTATGTTTTTTAATCCGTCGTAATGAATTCCATTCAATTGTTGATTTTCCAGCCAGAATAAACCGATCCAGCAGCCTCACCAAGTGGGATGGAACAGCTGATGGAACCCAGTTTCAGCGTCAATTTCAATCGATACATGCAGTACGGCAAACGATCTTACGGTACACCCGAAGCCTTGTGGAGTATCCGTATCATCCCTTATAAAACTTTACAGCATGGTCAAACATCTCCTAAAGAGTTTTCCAACATGGATGCTTTGTGCTGAATTAGAAAAACGACTTGCAACGAGAGAGAGAGGTGATCCATCGCGGACCTCTATCACAAATAAATCTTCTGTTCCAACCTATAGTGCTGAATCCAATGGCGGCGTCTGGGTGACTTGTGCGAGGTAAAATTCCTGGTGCAACGAAATAAAGATGTCAACAGCAAAGAAATGACGCTCTCTCGGTCCTTGTGGTAGCATACCGGTAGGGCAGATTCTACTCTATTCAGTTGATTCAAACCAAATTAGTTGCTACCGGTACGGTAGAGTCCTTACCAAGTTGGTTGGTCCGTCGTTTGTGGCCCTAGTGAGAAGGATTTTTCCAATTCATACCTCCTCTGCAATGCAATATCCAAACTTTGAAGAAGTCGCTGATTTGCAGCCTCCACTGTTGGCACCATGTATATGGAATCTAGACGACCTTCAAATTGAAAACCCGTTTCAAATTTGCTCCCAATTTTGGTAGGTAACATCTTCTTCAGCATACTCAAGACCACATTGAACATGACCCCACCATTGTAATGCTTTTGAGCTTGATACTGTAGAGGATATGTCCATGCTATCTCCAGCCGTAGTTTTTGAATCATGTGAATGTCCAAATGCTGAGTCCAGTCATATCCATCACATTCACACACAATAATCCCTCCCTTTCGTATCAGTTCAAAGTCCACACTCATGGCATGATGCATATAGTATTCACCAGCATTGCAAGTGGTGAACATTTCAGTCCTTGTCATTTTCTCCATGGAAATCTTGGTCATATCAAATGCAAAAGAATAGTTCCCATCATCAGGGTTAAAACTGTAGGACAAGTAGACTTCTGGGAATAGCTTGATGAGTTTTGCCACTGCCCGCCTGCTGTCATTCAGAGTGTCCAATATATCATTGTCTTGGCGAAACTCCTGAAGTCGAAGAGCATTCTCCACAGCAGCTTCTGTGTCTCCTTGGAAATAGATAGCCAGATGGGCACACATGAAATCTGAAATTAGGTTAACATCATCGTGGGCCTTGACAGCTTCTTTGATGTTTTGTGCCCATTGATGCAATTGAGTTGTCAAAGGCATCCGCTCGGGATCATCCATACGAAATGGTGGTCCTTGTGGTGACGGTGGGTCATCATGGTCCGGTCCGAGTTGTTGCGCTTGAACGATATTATTGTTGTTGTTGTTCCTGTTTCTGACATCCCCCACTGCTTGTTCTTGACCACCCTCCTGCGGCTGGTTACCTACCGCCACAGGTCCAACTTCTATGGCTTGTTGGTCGTCTCCATTATTATTTTGGAAGTAAGGATCCATTAGACAATTACGACCAACGGTACCGTACCGGTGTCGGCGACCTCAACATGCCGTTGTTGGGTGGCCGTGTGCAACAAATCCGGTTTTGCCAATCTGCAGAGCTGCTTACTACGTACATGCATCCGACGTTTTGTTTTTCTTCCAGCCCACACCAACTAAAGCACCGTACACAAGAGGTAACAAACAAACACCAAAAGCTGTGCGGGCATTGTTGGATTGGGAAAAGTCCAGCATCCAACAGAAGCCAAGCCATGGCGCACACAATTCGGAAGGCTCCCTGGTTGCTACAAGGTACCGTGCCGTACAGTATTAATACACTAGATAGACCAGTTCCTCATGGTTCCAGTAAGATTTTTCCCAGTCATAGTGGTAATCAGTTCAACCCATTTGCCAGACATCTACTTTGCATTGCTAGCTAGCTAGCTAGGAGTACCTAAGATATCCCAAGATAAGCTAGCTACAAAAAGGAACACTCCCTTGAATTAAATTGTCAAGACCAGTCGCGGCGCGAAAACCTTTTGGAGCGTTTCGGCGTTTCTCATCAGGCCTTTCAGTCCTGTCCCAACCACCCGGTTCACGCGGTAATTGTTTCCCATGTCCACTGTCGAGTAATTCAATAAACATTCACTTGGTTGAATCTTTTACCCCAACTTCTACACTTCACTTCCAAGGGAGCATGGCGCTCACACTTGTTGCGATTCTGCTCAGAGGGTGGCTCGGAGTGGGGAAGTTATCTTCCCAACGAAGCCATCCATCGTACTTTGGCCGGACTCTGTTGCATGCGGCTAAATAAAGACCAGAACTCCGAGAAAAGGTAGGTGACGGGTAGATCAAATCATAAAACCATCAGCAGCCAAGAGCATCCATTGCAATGCCAACCATTCTGATAACTACGAGCCCAGAGGAGTTCCTCCTCGATCGCCCATGCCCTACACTCTTTCCTTGTCACCTACGGCAATGGTGCATCAAGGCAGAAAGAATAGCTACGGATCTAGATGATATCAGCGTACGATCCCACACGGTGGAACATGTAGGCGAGAGAGCCATGGCGGCACACGAAGAATCATCCGATGATGAAGAAGAAATGTGCACCATCATCCGGGATAACTTTGTAGGGTTTATTACTAGTTGCGAGCTTCGAATGAATGGGTGGGACCAGCACAAGAAACGAAGAAGAAGACACAACAACCGCCGCAACAGCATGGCAAGTACATGCACCGTACAAACAGCAGGGACAATTGCCACAGTCACATCATGCGGCGCGCACTCATAGATAGATAGATAGAAAATCATCGCGGGGTTTGAAAGGATAGAAAGCTAGTGAATATCATTGTACAAACACAAGGTTGCTTTCGAGAGCTGTATAACAAGGAGGTTACTATGGGTTACATCGTACGGTACTACTAGTACTCGTAGAGCGGACCATACAGTACATGAAGAGCTTGGGGTGGCTGCATGCAGACCCAGACCTCGGCTTGATCGATTGAATTCTACATGTATTCGATTTTTGACCTCAATGATCGATCACCTTCGATTTTGAGTTTCATTGCTGACGTCATGGCCGCACCGGTACCGGTATCTTGCTTCCGGGTATCTTGCTTCCGGGTGCGATGTACCAGTATCTTTACTGTCCGAAAAGTAACACAGCAAACAAGCGCCTCTTCGAGTGCTTCCCACCACAACAAAGAGACAACATACTTCAGTACTAGTACACTATGATGACCAGCACCAAAGGGCTCGACCCCAAGGGGTTGACTTATCTCGAGGGAGAAGGGTTTCCTCGGGGTCTGATTGACGCCATGGTGGCTTTGAAGAAGGACTGTGCCGAACAGATTTTTGTCATTGACAATTCCGAGCCCATGAACCAACCAGACGGTCACATCTTGTCCAAGACTAAGAGCGATGGCAATAAGCTGTGCTTTGAAAAGGCCACTCGTTGGGAAGAACTAAAAATGTGTGTGAAATCCCACATTCAAATTGCCGGAGCGCTCAAGATTCCCGCCTCGTTTCGGCTGTTGAATACTGCCACGGACGGTGCCCATGTGGATGGTCAAGAATTTTCCATTGGACAAGGGAAAGGAGGCGTGTACGATGTCGACACGGAAGTGCAAACGGCACTGGAGATCATGGACAAGATCAAACCCCATTCGCGGTCTCCTCTGACCAAGAGCATTCTCCAACTACTGAGGGACATTGAATCCAGAAAAGAAGAGCTCAAAAAGCGGGGCAAGCATGTATCTGTGGTGCTGTGTACGGATGGAGTACCCAGTGATTCCACCAGAGAATTTCTGGTGGATCAGTTGAAGAAAATATTAGGGGAATCCCTTCCCGTGCACATGGTCGTGCGGTTGTGTACCGATGAACCCAGTGTCGTCGACTTTTACAATGATCTCGATAAGGATCTCAACATTCGTCTCGACGTATTGGATGATTTCCAAGGAGAAGCCCTGGAGATTTGCAAGATCAATCCATGGTTGACTTACTCCCTACCCTTGCATCGAGCACGGGAAATGGGCTTTAACAGTCCTTGTTTGGACAATCTCGATGAAGGACCTCTTTCCAAAACCGATCAAAAGGAATTGTGTGACTTGCTCTTTGGCAAGGATAAGATGTATCTCTCTCCTTCGCCCGAACTGGATCCGGAAGGCTTTTTGGATCATGTCAAAACTCTACAACAAGACCAAACCGAGCAGTGGGTACGTAGAATCAATCAATCAGAGCAACACAGCCTATGTGGCGCATTCGTGTGCACGGACAAACATGCTAATAACCAATCCTTCCTTCGTGACTAACGACAGGATCCCATCATGGAAGAAACCAAACCTTGGATTGATGTAGATTTGGTCAAAAACCCAAAGGAAAAAATGGCCAAGATGAGACGCATCACGCAAAAGAAGAAAGGAAAATGGTTCGCTGGTGTGTTGGGAATCAAAAGGTAGACCGATGGACCGAAAAAACCATCCAGGGAGGCTACGAGAAAGGCAATAACGATTATTTTGAACGAACAGACTCTCTTGCACACAATACTGCCAAACTTGCACCTCATCATCAATGCGTACATATTCCCGTCGTCATATTCAAAAACAACAACTCCACTCATGCTGTATTGCACAATGCAGCCAGCGAAGATTAAATCTGCTGGCGGGGATGAGAGGCCTCTCTGCGGCGTTGTAAAGCGTTTAGATTGACCCCTAGCTAGCTAGCTGGCTAGAGCGCATGGACGGCTGAGTCGTTCTTGCTAGCAATGTACTGCATAGCTATTATTGGCGTGCCTGTCGTGTCTCTTACTAGATAGCTTCTCCTCGTACTCGAACCAGTCTACTTTACCGTGTTGAACTTTCCCTTCCCGGCCGTCTTGGCGTCCTTGTCGGGAGCGATGTCGTCGACGCCCAGTTTATCCAGCAGTCCTCCGGCCACCTGGCTCTCTTTTTCATTCAGAACGGTTCCGTACCACGTAGCGTCGGCAGCCGCGTATTCGTACCCCCCCTTGTCTTTCTTCGTTTTGTTGTTGTTGGCTTTCTTCTTACCAGCGTCGTCATCGGCTGCCACCGCTGACTGACTGCCGACCACGATCGCGGCGCCGGCAGCGAGTGTGGCCCCAAAACCTCTCCTACTAGAAATGGTGGCAGCGACGGGCGATTGTAGGCCGTGGCAGCATCCCGAGAGGAGAGTTACTACCAATACAACGAAAATAACGAGCTGCATCTTCCTATCTTCTAATAATGAGTAAGTCAATAGACGATAGAGGGCGGGGAACATTGCGTCTTCGTCTTGTCATTTTTGATCATGCCGCAGCATCCACTGACACGAGACATGCGTCATTGGGACATCCACGATCGGCCCAAAGATCCAACCCAACGTGGAAAAACCGCAGGTCACCACCACGGACTGAATACTTCGATGCCTTTGCACGGATAGGGCGGTCACCACGAGACAAGGGTACGACTGTACCTGGTAACTCGATTATTTCACTTCATAATAATTCTTGAAGAGTACCGTCTTTAGGAACAGTGCACGTATACTGGCCATTTCTGAGAAAGATGCGATGCTGCTCAACAAGCCTGGCTCAAGAGGCATCAAGTGGCAAGATCTTTGTGGAAATGGCAGAAATTCCTAGGTATGGGGCGCAGCCCCAAGTATGACAAGGGTTCCCCACATCGGCACATAGGGAGAGGGGAGGAGGGAGAGAGATATCCATAACACAGTAGACGACCCTGCAGCTGGTGGAGATAGTTGTAGCAGACCCATGACAATAAACCAAGCCACAGTGGGCTGGGTCGACTGAAATTAATAAGCCAGTAGGTCAGCCTAAAAATTTTAAAAAGAGGGGTACCAAAAGGGACCTGAGCATTCATCCCATGAAGGATGACATTCACCTTCTTGATGGTTTCTCCCCCCCTTCCTTCTTGGTTTATCCACATTACAAGGAGAAGCTATGCACGTGTGGTACCTCATTGATCAAATTGACTGCAGAGAAAGATGGTTGGCAGACATCAAGTGGCAATCTTTGTGAAAAGTGCTTTCTGAATAAAACACCTTCCCCTGCATAATTTTTGCGAAGTTTCACAACCTCCTCAGTCATGATGCATTGGTCTCCTTTTCGAAGACGCGGTGGAACGTGGGGCTTGCCAATTTCAATGCAAGCATCAGTGGAGCGTAGGGAGAAATTCGACAATGATTATCGCGCACGAACGGACTCCCTTGCGCTACAGATTTCGGTTGTCATCTTCAAAACACCAACTCACTCATGGTACAAGGCATGATATCGCATACAGTCAGTGAAGGTTAGATCTGTATGTGGGGATTAGAGGCCTCTCTGCGGCATTGTAAAGCGTGTACATAGACCCCTAGTTAGGTCGCACGGACGAATGAGTCGAGTCGTTCTTCCCATTCAGATGTGGAATGGCCTTAACTGTTCTGACCATGACTATATGGATACGGTGCCGTGTCCTACTGTCTTGGGCTTCAGGTTGTCTCGTACATCATGATCACCAACCAATGCAGTATTTAAAAGTCAACAAACAAACATCTAGCTTCATGCGGGTAGGTGCAATGCGTTCTCTAAATAATGTGTCTTTTAAGATGAGGTTTAGTGGGTGAACATATGCATTCGTCATGAAGTGTGCGGTGCGGTGCGGTCAAGTGATGGTTCAGTGCGATATGTCAGGTTCAAGATCAGGACTTGCGTTCGTTGCTCGAGCCATAAAACAGCCAGCGTTTCTTTGGTCATCCGGAAAGCTATGAACCCATTCGGTTGCCAGCCATGAATTACCCTTCTTCTTCAACTTCTTCCTTGGAGATGATAGCCATCGCAGATTGAAGGATTATACTAATGGGTGTGGGCCGTCCTGTGCCTGGGGTGCCCCTCTTGACAACTGGAATTTGGTTCTCGGATGCTGATTGCCCTCCTGCCACCATGGTCTCAACCTGGATCAACTGCCATTGAAGAGCACTATCCGGGATGGGCATCGCCCCGGTGGCATCTTCATTGGCACCATCATCGCGGACGTCGTGGTTGTTTGGATTTGGGTTGTTGCTATTGCGGCAGAGTGCGGTGGTCATCATCTCCATCTATCTTTTCTTCTTTCGTTGTCTGGTACCAGGTATCGTTGCCCTCGTGTGTTTTTTGTGACCGAAGGTGGAAGGAAAAGAAAAGGAGAAGAGCCGCGTAACTGAGTAACGCGCTGGGGTTCGGTCGAGGGATGTTTTGTGGCAAGGGGAAAGGGGGAAAGCCATTGTAGCATCTAACGTCATCGTTTCCGTTAATACCCCTAACCCCCAGGTTTCCGTACCTGGTACGATGATTACTGACTGTACAATGTGACTGAAGAATGCTTTATCTGAGAGAGTGGGTAATCACTGCTTAACGCAGATTATTCATTAAAGCCTCACCACGCGTCATTAAATCAGAGATGAAGACCCCTTTATAACATGGAAATCCTTTCATTCTTTGCCCTCACCTGTTATCCAGTCTCTGCGGAGGGTCTTTTTTCTCCTTACGTCACGATGTGAAGCCTTTTGCTCTCATTCCATGATTCCATGCAAGGACCGATGAGCTGTTCAGCCGAATGCTGCATGAGGTCCTGCAATGTCTTTCCCTCTCTCTTGTGCCCAACTCGTCTTGTAAGAAGAAAGAAAATAGCAATGCCCACAATATTGCCAGTATCCCGGGCCAAGAAGATTCCTTTATGGGTCGTTACCAATACACCAGCCCCTCTCTTTACCCTTGTCATCAGGCAATATTTCCATTATCATGAGCCAAGAAGATTCCTTCCTGAATCCTCACCAATACCCCAGTCCCTCTCTTTATCCTTGTCATCTTAGGCAATGGGTCGACAATGCCCAAGGAATACTGACAGATCTTGAAGATATAGCAAGCGTCGTGAGCGATGGGGGCAGTAGCATAGGTACATGTACCACTTTGTCATCATCATCATCAGAATCCAGTTCATCCCATGACAAGTCATCTCATGATGAAAGAATAGACGATTCCGAGGAAGTCATGTGCGCCGTCATTGGGGAAAACTTTGTTGGCTTTTGTCATTGTGACGAGCTGCCGCAAAGAGCGTACCGTGCTGGCTAGCTAACCATAGAGACGGAGAGCGCACACAAGAAGAAAACCAAGGGGAAGCTTGTACCACAGGGAGATAGTGTGGACGGCATCATGTGCTGGGAATGACCACCAAAGGGCCGGGGGGGAGAATGGCGATGGGCATCTCCAACACGAAAACACTCTTCACCGCTAAAAGCTCCGCTCACTCGATAGCGCGCGGTAGCATACAATTGCCTGCCCCCACCATTCGCACATGCCGCTGCCACGAACTTACATACGGAGCATGTCATAAACTTGACTGGACATCGACAATGCACAATCTGGCACCAAAGATAGTGCCGATCGGTATACTGTTTAGATGGAACGTAGGAGTATGCAAATAAATCACTGCAGTTTCTTTTAGGCGTCCTATGGCCTGCGTTAGCTATTCCGAATCAGAGAGATGGCCAAATGAGTTTGGGTAGAGTCACTCTTCACGACC